TTTCTCAATATGCTTAGAAATATTTTATCGCAATTTTTCATAGTTAAATGTTTAGAAAAATCGCTTCTTATTCGTATTATTATTATTGTTCATACAACATGAACTGCAATAAGACAATTAAAGGAGATACAAAAGATAATGCAGAAGGTAATGGTGTGTGTTAGAAAAAACAATACAAAAAAGAAGAGAATTGCAAACTAATTCAAAGTACAACATTTTGAGTAGGAAACAATTACCAAAGTAAGAATTAACTAAATTAATTAAGAATTAATTAAATTAAATTAAATTAAATTACACCCATTTGTCTTGCCAGCCGTTAACTCACATGTTATCAAGTTTGTCCTGCAGAACATTCATCTTGTAGTAAGCTCTATGCTTAAAATAACCAGAGTGTAGCCTCCTGTCCAGCAAACCACGCCATTTGACATAGAGGATTCTAGAATCGTACTTCACTGCAGTGTTTGCCTGAAAAATATAGGTAACAGAACAGTGTAAGTAATTCAACTCAAGGCACCTGGAGCACAAACACTACCACATGACTGTTCAGTGAGCTGTGATCAATCTCAAAGACAATTGGGGAGAGGGGAGGAGGAGAAGAAGCGAGTGTCGGGGAAAGAAAAATTGAGCACCCTCTGGGGCACATAAATCAATAGCTTCTCCCTGGGGTGAACCTCTGAAATTGACCCCTGGAGTCAATCCCCAGGATTGAGCCCCGGTGTTGACTTCTGGCCTGACCACAAGAATTGAAAGAGGTTTATCTAGGAATCCTTGAAGGAAAAGTCGTCGAGTTTATGTTTTCACTTCTCAGAGAACCCCTATTCGTCTTTTTTGGTGAAGGATTAACGCAATCCCCTTCCGAAGGTCCATCTAACTATCCCTCCAATTCCCATGGTTTTCCAGGGAGTCCGTGATGTAAACTCAAGGACAAGCCAGTGGCATGTGGAGAGCTCACTTGCGAGACTCGATCACATCAAATTTGCAATATGCGTGGTTCCGGACCCACTCCAGGGAGGGTTCTTGGAAATTCCATGGGAGAGGGGTGTAACACTGCCACAAATTTCAAAGAAAAGTGTGAACCGAAACTAGAATTTCCAGGGAGATGGATGGGGCGGTGATTAAAACAAGGAAAGCTCCATGGGAGGGTATATATATTTTCTGGTGCAACAAGATTTAACAACTTACCACAGCAAAACCAAGAATAAGAGGAGAGGAAGATATTAGAATACTTGTGAAGTCTGCTTTATCTCTGTCTAGAAGCGCCTCATAAAATCTACTTGGAATCAATCCAGTGTTGTACATCAGTAACTGCTCTACATAAAAGGAAGGTACATCATCTGTTAGTTTTAAAAAAAGTACAAAGGAATCAGGTCCTAGAGCAAGTTAGGCTTCCCATTACTAACCGTGCCATCTTTGAACTATCTGCTATCTCAGGCATCTCCTTGAAACATTCATAAAACAGTATTAAGGACGCTCGCGGCTAAAATGTTCCCACGGACAGACTTTTTTTATAGCTTACCATGAGGTACGGTAAAGATCACAGTTTGCGAGAGAAGCTCAAAAAATGCGGGTCACCATGCTCGTTTTCGAGATAAGGCGCGTTGAGGACAATCAGTGTCTGATCTGGGATTTCAATGTGGTTGAACAGTTTGTCTCAGTTGACAACTTCATAAGGGAACATTTTACTCTTCTATGGTCTGGCACACTAGATCAGACACTGCAGTTACTAATACCAAAATGCTTCCTTCAATAAGGCAGTCAAATGAGACAAAACACAATCACAACTGATTTACAACTTTTGCATTATGTATATATAACTTTAACACAGTCGAACCTTATTTAGCGGCTATCCTCGGTGAGACTATTCTCCTTCGCAGCCGTTGTAAGGGTCGTCACGCAACGCTTCTCCCCAGAAGCGTTGCGTGACGACCCTAATAGAGACTACAGGGAATAATCTAGGGAATAATGCTCACGAGAAACCCTATCACTGTTTTGCTGATATTCTTGTCCAGAAAATAGCATGTAGGTTGCTTAGGGAACATGTCAAGGTAGCGCCAACACAATCATAATAAACTTGGGTTTGAATGTCCCAAAATCAAGACAAACTAACGTGTAATAAATTTTGGGTAGAAACAACAGAAAAACCGCAACGGGAAGACCAAATGGTGGCTTCGGCCGCTTAATAGAGGTGGCCAGCTTTTACGGTTTTCTTTACAGTATTTTACCGACAGTAATTTATTGAATTTGATAACTGGTCGCTTAATAAGGGGCGGCCGCTTGATACGGGTTCGCCAGTACCTGCTAAAGACAGTCCCATTAAAAGTACAAGGAGCAGAGAGGTCGTAGATAGACAGCCGGGAAATATGACCTTCCAACAGCGCCAAAATCTTTTCAGAAACAGGCGATCCAACTTGTATTTGGACGGAGAACTGAAACGAAATAAAAGAAAGCTATGATGAATCAATGTATGCAAAAAAAAATATATATATGGTCGCCGCTGAACCATAAAAGAGCTCACCTTACAAAATTAGCCGCCATTTTCGGGCTCAAATTTTAGCTCAGAACCAAAGACGTTATGAAGCCCGGCGAAGGTATTTGCTGTATGTTTTTGTTCCCTTTTTTGGCCTTGACTAGAGATGCACAAAACAAAATAGATATCAATTTCTATCTGAGTAACTAATCAATAGAAACGTTTCGGTTATGAAAATTCATGCATAGTGTGTGACTACAAAACAAAAGATTGTGCACCGTCGTGGGACTAACTCCAACCGCGTAAATGTTAGTACAATCACTCGGAGCGATTTTACAATACCGGGCCACTTATTAACATATCCCTCAATGCTTCTAAGAACGAAGCATATAGAAATAACCATTCAAATTTAGTGAGATGCAGATGGGTGGCCCGGTGTTCTAGAATCTAGCCTTGGGCTCTTTGCGTTGCCCACGTGGTCGTTGCACTTTGGTTTACGATATTTTATATTACATACGTCTTGTCCTTCATCCCTGACGCCCTGACCAAGGTCCTCAGAATCCCAGCGGAATTTCTCTTCGAGTGTTCAAACACGAGAAGAGATTTAGTATCTACGAGCAGCCATGTATTATTTTGAAAAGTATTTAACAATTACTCGCTGAAGGCGAAATCAACATCGGTGAATATTTACCGAGGCTAAGTCGAGGTAAACATTCACTTATAGGCGAATAATTGTTTTGGTATAATTTTCAGAGGTAAAACCCAAGTGAAATAGATCTTAGATTTAAACTTATACATGCACATCGATTGTGAATCAATTTACACATCGAGTTATAGGCAGTAAAACAAACAAGCAAAACACTACGAAAAATAAATTCATCCGGTACCTTTGTTCTATCGTCATTGACTTAATTCACATTTGTGCCCATGATCTAAAAATAAGTAGCTCCAGTTTGAAGAAAGACAACTGATTCACTCACGCGATCTGACCTGCTGGCGATCAACGAAACCATTGCGCTTACTATCGTCGTTTGGACGCGAAAAAATAAAATCGAAGAAGAATGGTAGCTAATGGTCTAGATAAGTGATGAACAAAAATATAACTTTCGGTTCTATTCGATTCGCTTTTAGTCGTGGATACGCGAAGTGTAGAAACGATTATCAGCTATTATCGTTAGGGGCAGAATATGCAAATTTGTCACTCACTCAGATGTAAACAAATTGACATGCCAACGACCAAAATCGATATTTTCAGGGCATGCAAATTTGTCGCTCACTCAGTGGTAAACTAATCGATAGGTCAACGACCAACATCGATTTTGCGACATTGCGAATTTGTACATATTACATGCTGAGAAATTTCTAAAATCACAGCCAGTTTCCATGGTAACTGAAATATTATTATTAAATTAAAAT